CTTCCCTCTGATTAGTAATATTTGGCTCCTCTAGAGAAACATTAGATTCAGAAGGTACTTTAGTTTTCTCAAATTTTCATTTGGATTTTTTGTTTTTAAATCTCCATTTTTTATTATTTAGGATTTAAGAACTTTTAATTCATACATTTAAAAATAGTAATAAAATAAAGAATGATCTCTTATGCCTCCATTCCATTCATCTCTATTTTTAAATATTGCAATTTTCTCCTACCAATATTATCTTCTAAGAACTTTAGACCAACTTCTAACACTTTAATTTTTTGACTTGCCGCAGCGTTGCAATGGTTGGGTATATCACATTCATGTAACTCAGTGTTTATTCGGTTAACAGCATTTGGATTCCAAGGAACAAGAACAGATTTTCGAAATGCATTTTGAAAAACAGTTGGTGTCACTCTTTCTTCCAGTAGTTCAGCAGCAAGTGAACCTTTTTTAACACAGGAGCCTCATAATTGGTTAATCTCCATTGCTGAACTTTATTTTTCCAACCATCCGTAAGAGTACGAAACACAGCTACATCCATAGGCTGAATGAGATGAGTGGCATTTAATGTAATGTTAAATGTTATTTTGATGTAACGTTAAATGAGAAGAACGTCTATGAAAAGAATTATTGGCAAAGTAATACCGGCATTTAACAACCATGGTTAGAAGACATTTGTGATGTATTTGAAAAATGTCTCTCCGGTCTTCCAACCAGTTTCGCTCTTCCCATTACCCCACCATTCAGGAACACTGACAGCTAAGTCTCTTGGAATTCGTTCGTAACGGAACAATATCATTGGAGTTGCCATCGTTCCAGCTGCGTTTCCAGTTATTAAAACTGTAAGGCATTCTATGTCATCACTGTTGACCTGATGATGTTATCGCCTTTCTTTGCCAAGACTTTACTACCTTTTGAATTTAGAAAAAATGCACTCATCTCCATTAAACACTCGTGGGGGATCATTCAAAACTTCCTCATACTTATGTTCCGTTACATAAGTTTTAATTTCTTGAAACCAATTTAATATACTTTTCTTAGTTACTGAAGATCTGCTTATTGTTAAATTTTGAGCAGTCATTGTAGATACTTCTGAATTTCGTTTCAAAAAACTATAGTACCATTTGCACCCAGGTCTATTTGATTTAAAAGGGTTCTTTCTTTTCAGTTCTTGTATTAAGTGTTGAACTCTGGTAAGTAAAGCTTCTTTACCAATTGAAAACCCAGCTTTTGCCATTGTGCAAATCCAAAGGACAATATATTTTTCTTCTTCCTTCATCAAAATAGAATCTAGGCCCATTTGTCTCAATTTTGACACTGGGAATGCACTTCTAGATACTCTATTGTTTTTAGCTGCAGAAGCAATTGACTGACCATTTGAAATCGCAGCTAATGCAGATTCCATTTGTTCTTCTGAATACCGAAACATATTTCGGCAAACTGCCATTTGCTGCAATATTGAATTTGCTAAAGGTAGGAAGTTTTAACTTGTGGGATGAACAGATAGATGGCCCCACTATTCTAAACTGTAGATTTCTGGTTTCAAATAATAAAACAGCTTATTTTGTGAAAATGTGTTTGTGCAAACTTCCCTTAATGTGCTATTTATAGTACTTTTATTACAGCTAATGTTTACTCCTTGATAGTAGAGTAAGAGTCTTCTATTTAAGATCATGTCCCCTATGTTCTCTTCACTTCCTAGATCTTTATAAAATATTTGGATACAGAATCATTGGGTAATTACTATTTATAACTGGGAATAAGCCACAATTAAAGATAAAAAATACGTTTATTGACGTTTCAATTTCCAATTCGGAAATCGTTCTCAAAATACAAACAGTAAATTAAACAAATTTTGTTTTTTTGTTACATAGTGAAAAAATTCTTCTAATAATTTAATTTTATCTGACTCATTTATATTGACAATTCAGACATACATTATGCATTTTAAAGTAGAGGACTTTAAAATGGTATTGCCAATATTGTTGAGTTGCGCTCCTGGGACGACTTTACTATAAGATAGTTCATTCGATTACATGAAATCAACTTTAACTTGAGAATATCCGTTAGAAAAAATCATAGCATGTAAATAATATAAATATAAATGAGTCAGATAAAATTAAATTATTAGAAGAATTTTTTCACTATGTAACTTAAAAACAAAATTTGTTTAATTTACTGTGGGTATTTTGAGAACGATTTCCGAATTGGAAATTGAAACGTCAATAAACGTATTTTTTATCTTTAATTGTGGCTTATTCCCAGTTATAAATAGTAATTAATTTACAATGCCACAAGAAAATAGCTTCAGAACAATATTAAGAATCATTGGGATTAAAATTTGGGTAAATAAATGTAGGCATTACAATATATTAGACTTTATTTCAACCAATTATTAGGCTTTGTACAAAATAACTAGCGATCTAAGGTATTTACAAATAATGTAACATAATCAAATCAACGGCTCACTTCAAACAGAAATCAAATTGTGTTATACCAGTTTTTGCTTTAACATGGGTAACGCTTTCACTGACGATGACGTTACGACTACGAACATTACGGGTGCGAAGAAAATAACTGATCATGATCGTCAGTGGCAGTGAAAATGTCAGAGATATTAAGCACCAAAATTATCTTTTATTATGATTTGGCCTCTTTAGATCTATTTCGTGCACCTAAGGTTAAAAGTTATAAATCGATCGTACAATTCAAGAACTGTTGGTAGCATAAAGAACACAATAGCATTCTACTCCAAAACATGATGTACTCTAAGCTATAGAGTAAGGAGTAGAAAAAAATTTAATAGAAGTAATAAACAACATCACAGAATAACTCAAATAATAACTAACAAACAATAAATAATTAAAAAAAGTTGTTACACGATTATGAGGTATCAAACAAATATTTGTGTTGAGCATGTTTCTGTTTTTAGCAGTTTGGACGATGATGTTAATAAAACAATAAGGAAAGAAACACTAGAATACTGGAAATTAGATAAATAGTGTTGATTAAACTGTTATTAGCATACAGTATGACTTCGAAGTACAGTATGATATCCTTAAAATAATAGAAAACGAGTACATGGATGTCCTCTTAAAGCTCTTTAATGAAATTTATCAGTCGGGTGACATACCCAATGAATGGTTGACCTCAACATTTATTTGTCTCCCAAAAAAGAAAAATGATACAGAATGCACCGACCACCCCACCATAAGCCTGATGTATCACACATTTAAAATGTTTTTAAAGATCATTCATAAACGCATTTACCAAATACTTGATATGGATATTGAAGAAATCCAATTTGGATTCCGTAGAAGCGTAGGTGCCCGTGAAGCTCTATTTGCATTCAACGTACTAATCCAGAGATGCTTGGATGTGAACCAAGATATATGTACGTCTGTTTCATAGATTACAACAAGGCTTTCGATAAAGTCCGCCACAAAGAGCTAATGGACGTCCTCAAAGCAAAACAATTACAATATACACAAACAGTTACAATGACCTTCGAATTATAGCAAATCTATATAATAAACAGCAGGCACACATACGCATTAATGAACACACATCAGAGGAGTTCGAAATTAAAAGAGGAGTGCGACAGGGGTGTGTATTGTCACCACTACTATTCAATGCATACTCTGAAGAAATTATGAAAAGAGCTCTTAAGGGAGAAACAGCAGGAATTAAGGTCAATGAAACACCAATTAACAACATTAGATATGCGGACGATATTATCATAATAGCAGACAACCTCCAAGACCTCCAAAAGCTAATGAACAAGATAGTTGAGTATGGAGAAGATTATGCATTGTCAATAAACATCAAGAAAACTAAATTTGAGAATATCAAAAACCCAAAGTAATGATGAAAGCCTGACAATTAACGGTAAAACTTTAGAACAAGTTGAAAACTACAATTATCTTGCCACAATAATTAATCACACAAATGATTACTCCAAAGAACTCAAAGCTCGAATAGAGAAACAAACTTCAATAAAATGAGAAAGGTACTTTGTGCAAGAGAACTGAAATTAGACTTGAGAGTTAGGCTGGCAAGGTGTTATATTTTCTCGACTCTGCTTTACGGGATGGAAGCATAGACACTTAACGCGTCGACTACTAAATAGTTGGAAGAATTTGAACTGTGGGTATACAGCAGAATCCTGAAGATATCATGGAGCGAGCATGTAACAAACAACACAGTCATAAGAGTCAACAAAAAAATGGAAATAATGGAAACCGACAAATGGAAATAATGGAAACCGCCAAGACACGAAAGCTGTAATATCTTGGGCATGTTATGAGTAATTAAAGATACAACATACTTCAATTAATTATACAAGGGAAAATCCAGGGCAAGAGAAGTGTAGGAAGGAGAAGAATCTCATAGTTAGAAGACGAGAATATGTAATTCGAGTATTTCACTATAAATTACGTTTTCTGTACTAGTCCTGCCGATAGTGATCTATGATATGCGAATGTTATAAACCAGATAGCAAGTTTAACGCAGAAGAAACATATTTTTCATGACAGTCAATAGAACTTAAATGAGAGAATTATTTTGGTGGAAAAATGTTCAAGATGAGACTTTACCTGACAGTCTAATAGACGGTACATTTTTAGTCAATACCTGACTAGAAAATATTGAGCTTTAAGAAGTTTGTAGATAATTCTGAGGATATAATCTGAAAGAAATATAAGGATAAGCTCCAAAATGTCCTTTTTACTAACTAATACGAAATTTCAGACATTATGCGATCTTGGCCTGGTTGACTAGCAAGTGTTAATGAGCCCTTATTTTCAAAGTTTCTCTAGTACTTCCACAAATCACATAATCATAAAATTTTGGTAGAGGATTTTTTTTTTGATAATTGGAATCTAATTAACATAATTACCGATTTCAATTATGCTCTAAATGTTTTAAAACTAAACTATAAAGTATATTTTTATACATATTACTTTTCAATTAATATACAGTGGTTTACTATGTATCCATTATGATGGAGAGCATCCCGTAGGTATGCTGTAAGTGTCGGAGTCGCTGGAACTGGAACTCATCGATGCCGAAGCGTCATCAACGTCGAAAACTATGGATCTGATTGAAATATCGGATGGTCCAATGGGAAAATCACGCTAAAAAAATAAAAAATATATATACAAATTAAAGGAGAAATCCTGGCTTTATAGCATTATTTAAAAAACTTAGAATGAACTAAAAACTTCGGATGTATGATGGTGTATTGTTATTAAAATTTTAAAGTATCCAAACGAATTAAAATTATCTTCAAAACTTTTTCGGTCCAGTTGGATCACCATCAGTGAAACCTAGAAGTATTTCCACGTTAAAACGATTAATACAGAGGTAAAATTTTGACTGATCATTTGGTAAATACTAAGATCTTAAATAACAAAAACTTGATATGGAGAAACTTAGCTAAAACGAAGAAAAGTACAAAGAAGAAATAAAAAATGCATCTCAAATACAACCGACTTAATAAATAAAGAAACAAACGAAATAAATGAAATACTAACAACTACATTGCTACAAGCCGGGGAAAGAATTGCAAAATCGACGACAAAAAAGGTCAATTATATCTCAGAAGAAGTAGAAAACCTGATGAAGACAAGAAGAAGCCTACTTGAACAGGGCAAAAGAAACACAGTAGAATATACTGAAATCAATAAAACAATTAGAGAAAACATAAAAGAAACCAAGAGAAAAACGCAGGAAGCAAAGTTTGAAAGAGTGATCCAGCAGAACAAAAATATGAAATGCTTAAAACAACGACACGGTAAAACTCAGATAAATGAAATGACAAACAGCGAAGGAACAACCATTAATGATATGAAACAAATAATAAAGTTGACACAAGAATACTGTACGCACCTATACAGAACAAGACATAAACCACAGCAAGAAATTCTTAAACAATTAAACACAAAAATAAAAAATATAAACTCTGACCTACAACCAGAAATAAGTAAAACAGAAATCAAGAAAGCAATTCAAGAATTAAAAAACCATAAGTCACCTGTAAAAGATGGAATAACTGCAGAGATGCTGAAGAGAGGAGGGAAAACAACTAGAGAAGTGCTACATATCCTCATGAACAAAATATTGACCACAAAACAGATACCCGATAGCTGGAACGATGCGGAGACACTATTAATGTTCAAAAAAGGTGACCGAAAGAACTTAGAAAACTATAGACCAATAACATTAAGTGTTGTATTTAAACTACTAACGAAGATCATGACAAATAGACTAACAACTAAGCTTGACGAATACCAAGCAAGAGAACAAGCGGGATTCAGAAAGGGTTTTAGTACTAGCGACCATCTGCTAACAGTAAAAATACTGATTGAAAAGTCGAACGAGTATCAAATCCCATTATACATGGCATTCATAGACTTCCGAAAGGCGTTTGACAGCATAGAACATTGGGCCATCAAAAACTCACTACAGAACGGCAGACTTGATTACAGGTACACGGACCTAATAACAAACATATACAAAAATGCGAGTACCACAATAAAATTGACGAACGAACACGCTACAGAACCAATAAAATTCGAAAGAGGAATCAGGCAGGGAGACACAATATCGCCAAAATTGTTCAATCAGGCTATGGAAGACATATTTAAAAAATTAGAATGGGATACATACGGAATAAGAATAAATGGAGAGCTCTTGAACCACTTGAGATATGCAGACGATATAGTCCTGATAACAGATAAGAAGGAAGAGTTAAAAAAGATGGTTAAGGAACTAGATAGAAAAGCGACAGAGGTAGGTCTAGAGATGAACTATAGTAAAACCAAGACTATGACAAACCAAGAAGACCAATTAGAAATAGTAGTCAAACAGAATAAATTAGAGCAGGTGGCAGAATACATAGGACAGATAATGAAGCTGAACAGGGACAATCAAACAGAAGAAATAAAAAGAAGAACTAGACTAGCATGGGCCTCATTTGGTAAACTATCATATATTCTAAAAAATAAAAAGTTCCCTCAATATATGCGAACGAAAATATTCAACCAGTGGATTTTACCAGTCATCACATATGGCTCACAAACATGGACTTTCACAAAGAAGAACATCGACAGGATATCCAAAACACAAAGAGCAATGGAAGGTCCGATGCTGGGTATTGGTCTTAAAGACAGAAAAAGAAACTCATGGATCAGAGAAAAAACAAAGGTGAACGATGTATCAAGACAGGTTGCAAAACTTAAATGGAACTTCGCCGGTCACACTCTCCGGCAAAAAGATGAAAGATGGAATAAGCGAATTCTACACTGGAGACCATGGGAAAAGAAAAGAAAAAGAGGAAGACCACAAATGAGATGGACTGACGATCTTAAGAAAACGGCAGGAAAGGACTGGATGCAGATCGCCCAAAATAGAGACCAATGGAGATTAACAGGGAAGGCCTATGCCCAAGAGTGGGCGTTTAAGGCTGATTAGATAGAAGTTCTTAGTATACCTCTTTGCATTAATCATTTTAACGTGAAAATACTTTTTTAATTTCTAGCTTTCACTGATGATGATCCGATAACGTTAACCTTAATCAAAATTTAATCTTTACATTTTTATTCACTGAAGTAGTACTACTTATTCCAGGTAAATGCACTGGTGATGGACTTATTCGTCTAAAATCGTTCTGTGATGCAGCCCGAAAAGATCTTTTTAATTATGTATATACCTTGCATAAAGAATTTTTGACTATAACTTCAAACATTTTTATACACACGGCTTACAAATCATTAATGACATAACGGCAGCGATACTGCACAAGAACTACTCAGCAATAATACTGTTCCATGAAAATTGCATTATTTACCCAGCTGAATTATTGTCAATTTCAGAAACAGTAAAATATAGTTAAACTGTTGGTCCCAAGATACCCAAGAAGTGAAATACCCAGCATCTGTCGTTCGATGACCCTTTTAAAATTGTCTTCAACTTTTCCAAATCTGCTTTGGTAAATGTCCAGACAGGAGCTCTATGTGTTGGGACAGGCAAAGGCAACTGTTGTTTTTGATGTTAATTCTTTTGATGTTAATTTTGAGGCAATTGGTGGAGTGTTAAATAAATCAGTTTTAATATGGCCCATGTCAATACCGTTTAAGATACTTCTAGCACGTAACAATTTATAAATTATTGTTAATCTAATATTATTGTTGAAAATATCTTCTTCTTATAGGGCCGTCGGGGTGTAAAGTTGTGTTATAGAGGTAGCACCTTTTATCGGAACGGCCACATCGAGCGTCATAGACGGGAGATGGTCCTTGATAACTGGTCCTCATAAGACAGCTAACTCTCATTTATGGCTCCACTTGCAACACCCCGGGCAACTGCATTGGTCTGCAGGCTAAACTAAGTGAGGGTAGTCAGATATAGCGAAAATTTTACTGAGCGATTGTCGGTATAAGCAATCCCACACTTACTGACCAACGGCTTCGGGCGGATGAGTTGGTAAGTGGTAGGGCACCCTTTTGTCCTGGAATTGAGAAATCGGCTTCGAAAGCGGAGGAACTATTAAGTAGTCAACGGCATAAGGATACGGAAGGGAACGGAAAACCACTATATTAAAGGTCTCAAATGACATTCCTAGAAAATCATAATGGCGTTTGCAAGAACCCAAAGACACCTTACTGATCATGGCAGTCGGAAACCAAGATCCGGCAGGAGAGGTACACTTGAAGAATATGAGGTCTCTCAGGTCGTCAGCAAGCGAAATTCTCATAATCAGAAGGAAACCAAGAAAAGCATTGGTTTAGAGAAAATAGAAAAAGGACGAACCCTAAGACTGGCCACATGGAACGTGAAGAGTTTATATCAACCACGTAAGCTGGACAACCTAATAGCTGAAATATATCGCCTTAAGATAAATATATTCGGTATCAGCGATGTTCAATGGCCCGATTCAGGAAAACTAGCCACAAACAACGGCATGCTGTATTACGTTGGTAACAATGATCCAAGACATCGATATGGAGTTGCCATTCTTGTAGACAAAGCGACAAATAAATCAGTAGCTGGTTTTACTCCCTACTCAGAGAGATTGATGATGGTTCAATTGCAGATATTCTCTAAATGTTTATTTTTAATATCTACATATTACTATAAAATTCCGCATTCTAGACACACCCAGTGTATTTATCCGTGATAGTAATTATTATAAAACTTACCCTACTAGAAGTTCTTAAATGCCTCCAAAGCATCCACAGCATCTGACTTTCATTAATATCTGGCGGCATTCTTGACGTCCAATTCAATCTATTCTTATTGTTGTTCTTAATAACCTCCCCTAATCCTTTCATTTCGTTGTCAGTTTCACATGAAGGTACCCATACCTTTATATCCCAGTCGAGGCCACTTGTACAAATGAAAGGCACTTGTGGGTGCGGTTCGAGGCAATTTACCTACAGGAATATTATGTTAGCTTAACATTATGTAATGTATTAATAATACGGGAACAAAAACTTAAAAGAAAATATATTCAGTTAAAAAATCAGACCGACAAAAAGTTAACAAATGTATAGTTTTTATTCAACATTTTATCTGCACACGTTATGACATTTAATTTCATCTTCAAAAAAATTCAAACGGGAAAACAATTGTTGAAGTATTTCCTCACTTCGATAAAGAAATAATTTATACGCGTACGCATTTCGATTATGAAAGGACTGTGAAAATCAATAGTTTAAAGATGATGCTTCTTTAATGAAAAAAGAAGAGTAAATAATGAGTAAACATGAAGTGTATAGTCATTAATTTTAATAAACATTTTAACCTTTGTTTTATTAGTAATACCCCACAGAAAAGAGGCATAGGTAAATTCGCCCCGGCCATATATTTCTTGGAAAAGATATTTGAATAATGTCGTCTCAAACTTTGTATGTACAACACTACCATCCACTTCTACTACCATTGTTTAAAAAAGAATGAGTATTTTTTAAACAATGCTACCATACAGATTGAACGAATTTAAAACTGATCATACAATTTAATATACATCTGTTTGAACTGCATTTGAAATAGTGGACCAATATAAAACAAATCCATACCCAGTGATAGACATTGTATAAAATATCGTTCAACTATCTGTCTCCTTTTAGGACGCACTATAGTCTATAATGCCGCCCAAAGTCAATGTGCCCAATCGCCGTGTAATAATCCGATTTGCGGATCTTTTTGAGAGTTATATCTTCTTCGTATCTTTACACAAATCGGATATTTGCCTATATTTTTCATTGTATTTACCAATCTACTACAACAGACTAAGAACAAAAATAAACTTAATGGTTTGTAGTTATTTCCTTTCTTTCCTGTAAATATTTTATGGTTAACACCTTATTTGAGAAGCATCTAGAGGAATGAGATTGGCAACACCGCTCAAATTATCCATCTGACTGCTTAGATTAAGAATGAAGTACGCTTTTTTAAGGAAAATTGAACCATACATAAACAATACGGCCACGTTTATGCGTAACTCTCGTAGAAATTTTCGATAAATAAATGACGTGCCAATGACAAGATCAAAGATGACAGAAAATATTTACCTGATAAGCTACTTCATACTTATTGGTACATTGTATACTTTATGAATCAATTAAAAATTTACAATTCTCAATTTTTTTTTTTTATAAAAATTACTTCTTGCGTTATTTTTGGGTCACACCACACTTACTACTCCACTATCATCTGCCAACAACCACTGAACAATAGATTCGGTATTTTTGTCCCAGAAATAAAGGTTTCCACAGTCCGATCCGCTGACGATAAATTCTGATCTAGGTCCAAAAAAGTTGACTCCTTTTATCGTTGCTCCATTCCGATGGCCTTTGTACTGATGAAGGAAGGTGCCGGGTTCGCCGTCAGCATCAAAGAGATAGATATCGTCATCATTATAGCTACCAAGGATTTGTGACCCGTCGTGGTTATAGACAGCACAAGTTACGTGGAATCCCGTGAAACTGCTCGAGTTACCCTAAAACAAATGGATATGAGGATAAAAAGGGATATTAGCTTTTGCAAATGTTCATAGTTGCGTAGTGTCATTTAACTCGTAACAATACCAAAGCTTTTTTTTCGTACCAAGGGCGTCACGACAAAATAAATAAAAAGTTTCAAATCACATTGAATAAGAACAATCTTTACTCCTCTCCAAAAAGATGTCTTGTCCGATACATGAAAGACAAAATTCCAAAACAACAAGATGGTGTTTGTGAAATTCCTATCAGGAATACACATCCTCCACGATTTTATATAGATTAATCCAACCAAAATAATGACATAAACCATAGTTTTGAAGGAATGCAGTAAACAAAAGATTTGATTTTGCATTATTAAGTTTAAGTCATCAATATTCTGTTTCAGTTTTTTGCTGCTAAAATTATTCCTTCACTTAACCAATTGTACTTTTTGTGATTAGTTCGGTCAGAAATATGACCATTAACGATAGCCAGCACTTGCTTGAAGAACACTTCGTCAGTTAGTTTTATTACCTTGTCGTGCACTTTCTTCTATTGTGGGTTCCACATTGGTACATTCGTTTGAACAAATTGGTTCAAAGCAACCCGATCATATTCACTTTGATGGTCCTATTCTCAATTAAAAGCGTCTCTCAATTCACGATTTGGCAATAGGAGTTCCAACTTGTTCAACAAACTGCTGCATATGATACCGGTCTTTGAATAACATAAATTATTTAAACTAACATGAATTCGATATAAATGTCATCCTAGTGGTTTACATCCTTTGTACAGCTATTGGGACCGTGCAAGTTCGGAACAGCGACACCGGGTGTCGTAAATCAGCAAAATTTACTGCACTTTCATGTTAGATCGAGGTTACCGGATAACTTTCAAGGACGTAGGCCCAAAAAAGAATAAGAAGAAAAGGTAAGATTGAGGTTATGTCGGTATGTTATTAAAAGGTAAATGTTGTATGTAGTGTAAATACAAATAAATATATTATTAAATTATAGCATTACTGTTAATAAAGATGCAATAATAAAAACTGAATTTAAGAAAGTAAATCACCAAATAACTTTTTAACCAAGCACTGAGTCAAAGGGAAAAGCTTTAATAGTGGCAAATGTCAAAAAAGAATGGAAGAATTAAGAAAAATAAATTACGATAAATAATGTTAATGCATAAATGCATAAATTAGCAGGTTAAGCCCATGATATCATCATATTGGTTTGAACAATTAATTCTTTCCCTGTAAACTTTTGGACAGCGAATATATCTTAATGCATCTTCAGAAAAACTTGAACTTGATACATTTTTGTAAACTTCAAAAAAATAAAATTTAAACATTAAACTTTTTGGGTTAAAATTAACTCTAAGTGAGTGTTATGAAACTAAAATTTACACTTAAAAGTGAACTTTTATTTATTATTTATTTCAAACTGACTTTAAAATCGGGCGCAAGAATAATGCATAATTTAGGTTATGTTACTTATGCCTTTTTATGATATAAATCCACTTTTCTCTTTGTAGTAATTTGTGCTTCGAAGATAAAAACGAATAAAACTTAAATTGACAATTTTTTGCTGTATTTTTACAATTTATAACACAGCATTTCCTAAATTCCATTTTCTTCAGTGACAGAAGGTGTAAATAAACAAACGAATATGAAATATGACAATTGACAATATGAATTTATGAAATCTATGAAATGTGTAGTAAAAAATGCAAGATTTCTCCGTTACTCGCGCACGATCGTTTCTCGTATCACATCCAAGTACTTGCACGTCGCCAATACTGTACATCTTTATAAACAACAATTTATACACAGGTTACAATTTAAATAAAAATAATAATGTGCTAAGATCTGGTAACAATTGTTGAAACTTTATATTATGGTTAAATTAGAATAAATAAAAATCTTGAGATAATTAACTATTTTATTTTGTCTATCCTGTATTTATTTCAAATATATGAGTTTATTATTAAACGACATCAAGAAATGTTCCAATTGTCTCAGCAAAAGAGATGACTCTTGGTTCGATTCCAGCTCGAGCAAAATTATCTCCTGCTTAAAAACCTTCTCTTAACGTCCTATCCCATTACTACTGCGGTACCCTTATGAACGTCCTTTATTTTATCACAATTCAAAGGTAAAGACAAAAGTAGCACAGTGTATAGTGTCGATCAGTGTGGTAGTAAAATCATTTGTGATTCAGGAGACTGGGCCTCCAGAATAGGTCCTGATGAAGACTCCAGATAGAGAGTCGAAAGCTTGATGTAGCCAAATTTAATTCAGTTTAATTTCGAAACTAAGTGTGTTTAATATTAACGTTTCTCGTATTAAGTTTACTAATTTATATTGTATATAGATTTCAATATAGATACTCACTCTCTCTTTAAATGGATGATATGTATGTAAGGGTTCGTCACTTTTTCTTTGATCATATACTCTAATTAATTCATCTCTACCGCCAACACAAAACTCTAATGTTCTTAAAGGATTACTATGGATAGTATATAGTGCTATATCCTTATCATCTTCCTTAACGGTGACTAACCTACAATATATACAAAAAATATAATAAACAAAGCAAAAAAGAATAATATTAGCAAGGTAAGAGAGATCATACCAAAAATATATATAAATATGAATTCTATAATTGAATTAGTTGAAGAAGTGATTCGAGATACTTTTTTCAAAAAGAAAAAACAATGAAAAAATGAATTTTATTTTAAATGTTGGCCGTACTGCGGTTCAGATGGTCCATTATCAAGTTCCAATTCTCGATAACTCCATCGAGCTTTTCGATTGGTATTTGACCAATGACTCGAACAATTATTGGCCTCCAATGCCTCAATCATAGCCGGTTTATTCATGTAGACATTGGGTTTTATGTAGCCCCAAAGGGTAGTCTAGAGGTGTGACGTCACAGAATCTAGGCGGCCAATTCACTGGTCCGAATCGTGAAATAAATTCTTCAACCAATCCTTGGCAAAATTATTATCCACCAGAATTTTACAACCCCCTTATTAAAAACAGAAATTATATTATCAAAAATCAATCAAATTCCAATACCAAACCAAAACAAACCCAAACCATACCTAGCAAATGTCACTAACTCACAAATCCTATATATCCGTACCATACATTAATGGATTTTCTGAACAAATGTCAAAAATGTTTGCAAAGTATAATATTAATGTTGGAAATAAATCATCAAAAACATCTTGAAAATACTTTGTAGGGGATGTAAGTTAAATATTATTTGAACTTCACGTAGTGTTAATAATACAAAAACAAATCACTTAAACTAAACTGTATTGAAAAAAAAGGCACATGTAAAATATTTTGTAAACGACAAATTTAAAAATAGCGTCCTTATCGAAACGTTAATGTGAGGAGACTGTGAGTGTCGACCTCCTTGTGTCCGCAACTACCGGAAGACACTCTCGAGGGGTGTAAAATGAAGGTCGGGTATAACTTAACTGAGAATGTATTATATGGGGTTGCTTGAAAGTTTTAACATATTTTTCAAAATTTAAATTTAAAGTTAATAAAGACCATTAATCAAACATTATTTATAAAATAAATTCTCAAGACTGCAATTCAACATATATTGGACAAACACACCAATACTTCCATAGAAGAATTGTTGCACACAAACATAGTGTACAAACCGTCTACTTTAATAATCCGTAAACATTTTTAAATAAAATTTTAAAATCCCAATCCTCTTAATGATTTTCTGAATTTTGAAATTTTAAGTTGGTATTAAACAGCGACACCTACGGCGCTGTAGGGCAACATGATCATCCGGCTAGCAATTAGCGCTCATTCTGGTTTTAACTTTTTGGTAGACAACTTCGTTTAACACAAAAAAAAAGGTAGGTGACAGAAGAAAGCTAAATTTGTTTTAAGAATATTAATTTTGTTGGGAAGGAAGAATATGGCCAGTTTTTAGTTGTTTCGTAGTGTATACCCGTTGATTTATAAGCCGCTTCTAGTCGGTAAGTTGATGCAATTATAAATAAAATGTGTAAAAACCATCAGCCATTTTAACTTCTATAATATCGTCATTTTCCCATTAATTTTTTTTGTATATAATTAACTAAGTTAACTGTACATAATTGGTGGTGGGTATTTTAGGGTAAATTTAAATTGTATATATTGGATAAGGATTCAATTTTGGTGAAAACTAAATATTTCAATTCATACCTGTATCCTTTTTTTATTTCAGCAAATAGCTTTACAAGATACCTTGGAAAGTTTACGTTAATACTTTCCTGGCGCCCACTCACATTTTGGAGTAACTTCTATAATCACTTTTATTTACCTTAGTTATATACCTATAGCTTGTTTATTGCCTTGTCATTCATTTTCTTATTTTAGGTCTCTGTAGGGCATGCAAATTAGCCGAACCCCCTTTTGAGTGTCAAGCAGTCACTCTCCGGCACCTTCTGCTAGCTAGCTTTCAATATATGTCATTTTTTACATTACCCCAAATACTTGTGTTACATTACACATACACATTTTTCTTGCATTGACATCCTAAACCTCGCATTCACACATTTTTGTTACAAATAGCCATTCTTTTGATTTGAAAAAAGTACAGATTTTGGAAAAAGAACAAAATTACAACAAAAGATACATATGGAGATGATTCACATAAAAAAAGATTCAAATTCCATCAATAATAAGACTGACATCAAAGATCTTTCCAATATGTACCTATCATAATTTAATAAATTGAGTTGTTTTTTAAATGCACTATGGCAGATATTTAAGATACGACCCTGAACCACTCCTATTTTAAGATACCTGTCAGATGTCATCTGTCAATGTCAGATACCAAATTTAATTCATGTTAAACTTTTTAAAAAAAAGTGTAAACATGAAATTTGCCGAAACGATTAAGCAAGTTTTAAATAGTTTTATTTACATCAGACCGACAAACCCATATATATATATATATATATATATATATATATATATATATATATATATATATATATATATACAAATCAGCCTAAGCCCATACGCTATACAACGAAAACATGGGTGGAGTTGACAGAAGCGACCAGAATATTGCTCAGCATCGAATAACTATACGAGGAAAAAAGTGATGCTTTCCTTTGATAACCCATTGTGTCGGTAGCTCAGAATTCATACCCCTTGCAAAAACAGGATCGTGGAAAACTGGACCAGTTAGCATTCCGAAAGGCTATTCCAGTTGAGCTGTTAAACACACAAGCCAACCACCAAAAGGGGTTATTCACAACTGCCAAGCAATCAACAAGAACACTCACGTTACGATAGGTTGGATCATTTAGTAAGCTATCAAGAACAGAAAAGAAGATGCGTACATTGCCATAAAAAGGCAAATTTTATTTCTAACAAATGTAATGTTGTCCTTCATCCTAAAGAATGTTTTTATAATTACCACACTCAATATAAATTGTACTTGCTAAAAAATATAATTTTGAAAAAAATAATGTACTCATTTAAAGTAACATATAGTCCTACACACATTTTTTTATTTATTTTTCCCTGACTTTGAATCTTTTTTAAATAACTAGTCAAAGTATATATTCATGTTTAAACAAAAAAAAAAGTTTCAGGACTAAATGGGTGAATAAAAAAGTTAAACGTTTCTTGACGACGTACTAGAAAACTAATTCAACTGTAGAATGCCAATTTTAATAAAAGCATTTTAAAAAAGTACAAATATTTGCTAATGTTTAATATTAGTATACATAGTATCTACCTCTCCTGTTTACTTTTCCTAACATCATGGCTATATACAATACCGTCTTCACCGGCACTAAGAACTATATGAGGTTGTTCTGCAATAACAGATATTTTATGGCAAGGCCCTCGGTGACATCCCAATTTTCTATTTTCCCGCAAGCCTTCCTCTTGGGAAACTTGGGCAATTCTCACCTAAACAATGAAAACGTAAATAATTAGTATAAGGAATATTTATATTTAGATTAGGGTTCCGTAAATAGTTAGTCATTGGTACGTAGGCAAAATATACACAAAAGTCCAGGTAGTACCTGTTTAAAATAATGACTTTTGGTGAAGCATAATAATAATAATAATATATTGTCAAAGACCCTCAGGTCCAAAACGACAAATGCCGATATGGATGTCAAGCTCAAGAAACGATCCAACATCTTACCGGAGGCTGCCAGGCATTTGCTGCAACTGAATATAAGGAACGGCATGACTCAGTAGGGAAGATCCTTCATCAAGAGATAGCTATTAAACTGGGACTTCTACAAACAAACCATCTCCCATATTATCAATACGTTCCACAAAGTATGCTTGAGAATGACAACTACAAGCTATACTGGGATCGCACTGTGCTTACAGACCAAACTGTAGCACATAATAGACCAGATCTCGTGCTAGTTGATAAACTAACAAGACAAACAACTCTAATCGATGTGGCGATACCTAACAACAATAATCTGCGTGTTAAGTACAACGAAAAGATCGCCAAGTACAGAGATCTGGAAATACAAATAAGGAGACAATGGAGAATGGAAACTGCCCAGACGATACCTATTATTCTTTCTACCACTGGAGTCATTCCGAAGAACCTCCTAGAAAACATAAAAAAGCTGGGTCTAAATGAACATCTATATAAGATCATGCAGAAAGCTGTGCTACTTTCGACGTCCAGATGCGTGCGAAAATTTTTGGGAGATTCACCGACGTACCAAGTCACCTAGGACTCGATAACATGGAAAGAGTCCCACCAGAGCTCAATCCTTTTGATACCGTAGGTATCTGGGATGAGTGAATTTTCCCCTTAGAGGGAGTGTGAGCCGTATGGCTGAATCTGGAGAACGTATTTATTAACAAACAAATTAAATTTTTCTTTACAATAAAATATAATATCAGTAGAGCGAGATTCAGTTTGTATACCACTTTGTAACAGAGGCATACAACTGCTCTTCCACCTAACCCCCCGAAGATAGGATAGATACACTACATCTAAATAATGAAATTGTATTTTACAATGAAACAAAAACATTACATATTAAATTAATAAATTATAAACTATTTTTTTTTAATTCTTAAATTTTTAAATTATTGTTCAGCTAACAACTGCTCATAAATTAATCTCGTGAGCTTGACACTAGACAGATTTTTAATATTGTAGGACAAACTGTTAATATTGCAAGCAGTTGAATATGAAAATGAACGTTTAAAAAAGCATGTTGTATGTTTAGGTAAAGTGAGGGTATTCTTGTATCTAAGATTAAGTTTATGAACGTCAGTCCTATAAGTTATTCGATTGTACAGGTATGGTGGAACTCTCTCTGTGATGATTTCATGGTAAAAACATAAAGCATGAAGTTTCCGACGATTTTTCATATTTAGCCACTTGACTTCGATGAAAACATGGCATATAAATGAAATCAAAATAAGAAAAAGCTACTCACCTGTCCATCCCTTGCACAGGAGGCTATGTGCATATCACCAGATAAATTTAAAAATTTTGTTTGGAAGACATTTCCTTTATGTTTAGAATCATATTTTAACATCGATTTCCCTAATTTCCAGTCCCACAGTATAACGTGTAAATCATCCGAACCACTAGCTAATATATGTCCATTCGGATGAAAATTTAAACTATTAACACAGCCATCATGTCCTTCTAATTTATACATTAATTCTAACCTCTGTACACTATGTAAAGAACCGTAACAACGCTTCTGAAACAAATCAGAACTTTGCAATTTCGAACTAGCACCTAATTGTCTACTATTAATTTCCGGTACAACGAACCAACGATGCTTCGGCTTTTCCTTTTTTAATATTGCTAATACTGCCACATCTCCATCGTCGGAATCTGCTTCGGTATCGATAATTATAGTCGAATTTGAGCTGCTAGTACTGGATAGTACAGGTTCTATATCATCTAAGTTATCCTCCTCATCTTCCGAACGTTCCTCGTGTAGCGCTGAGTCTTCATCGTCGCCTTGATAATCATCATCATTGGAACTAGAACAATATAAAAGATATATTAAATTTTTTAAATGTTCCAGTTAAAACATTGTATTGATTATAATCATTCAACTCCAAAATCATAAACCTCTATTCTAGAACTAATAAAAAGAAGATTCCGAGCAATACACAGATACACTGAAAATACAAAAAATACACAATGAAAAGGAAACGTGTGAGGCAACTAGTCCTCCATGAGGAGCCTACGCAGGTACCGGATAGGAAAACGCCTCCCAGATATGTGTGATACCGGGGAAATAAAATACTCAGGGTGGACCAAACTCGTCTGACTAAGAGCTGGCTGCTGCAAAGTGCAAATAGAATCTTTGTTCAGAGGATCGGCTAAAATGGTAAACGACTCTGGAAATATTTCCCAAGAAAACTATAATGACAGTTCAAACAGAAACAGCCCCTAGTAATCTGCAAATCTTAGATAATCAAAGGGTGCAAAGAATCCCCTAATGAAATAATCTAAATATTTTAAATACGAACAAATATTGGGTTTGTGGAATGTGGAGTAAACACAATGGTTTTGTAAAGACTGAAACACAGCGGCGGCCGGCCAGGTGAAGTAGGTGAAGGTGAAGTTCACCAAAAAAATATAAATAAATTAAGACAAATAAATAAAAAATAAAAGCAACATTATTATATCTAAATTCTGAAATTAATTATTTATTCTCTTTTAATTAACCTTCCACGGCTGGCGCTTATAATCTGGACACTGCGGCTGGCGCGCGGAGTATTTGTCCGCATATATTTTTGTCAAACCTTTTGGCTTAAATTTGTTCTACTATCTTCGGAAATGATTTAAGTAGATGTTAATCAACTATTTGAAAATGATAAAATACAGCTTGAGCATTTATTCTGAGTAAAATGTTATAAAATTTCAAAATATGTAATATCGGGAATACATTCTAAAAAAAATTATTAAAAATCAAAACAACTGATTAGAATATAAGTTTTAATGTTTGTTAAGAAAATACATATATATGTTTTAAATCTATTCAAAAAAATTATCCTCAAAACAATTTGGGCAAGTATAGACAGTGTGTTCACCACACATAAATTTTCCACATTGTTTGCATTTGCGACTGGTAGGTCTGTTTTTTATTCTGTCACAAAAGTCACATCTGCCTCTACTACGTTCTGGAATATGTTGAGGGTAATTTACAGGATCTACCTTAGTGATTTCTTTTATTCTCGCTGACATGATACGTGGTATATTGGCTTGACAAGCACGAACGTTAAGCTGCGGTTCAATCACAGCGAATGCTAAATTGTGCAAAAACTGTCTTCGTGGTAAACGAATCTCGTTATTATTGCAATAAAAAAGGACCATTGAGTTTATACCAGCTACATTTAGCATGGAATAAAAAATTACCATTGGCCATCGTCGAGTATTCCTAGCGCAGTCATAGGCAGCACATAACTTGTCTACTGTGTCAATTCCTTCCTTTGTAGAATTGTAGTCAAGAATCATTTCGGGTTTCATGGAATCCTCATCAATTGTATCGTCATGATGTAAACTAGACAGGAGGAGTACGTTTTTGTTTCTTTTTGTATATAGGACACCAAAGTAATATCATCATGAAAAGCAAACATGCTGGATCAAATAGGTCTGCTTATAGGTTTAGAAAATTCATGGGGTAATTCCTTCTTATTCTTGCGACACGTTCCTAAAAATGTAAGTTTGTAATCACGAAGCAAGGTTTGGACTATTGGTATGCTTGAAAACCAATTGTCCGCAGTAATATTCCGTTTTGTTCCTCTTAGAGGCTCACATAATCTCTTTACAACTTCCGATGGAGAATTACTTACAACAAAAGGACCTGGTGGTTGTTGCCCCAAATATGGCTCCAAATTGCAGGTATAAAAGGTCTTGGAATCTGCTAGCGCAAAAATTTTTAATCCATATTTATTTGGTTTATTAGGTATATACTGTTTAAAACTGCATCGACCTCTAAATGCCTCCAATTTTTCATCTATTGTGACGTATTCAAACGGCGTATAACCGATTTTGCAATTAAAAGTAAACATTTCAAAAATCTCTCGTATGGGACAAAATTTATCTAATAGTTTTCTTTCCTCACGTGAATCTATATCATCAAACCTTAGGTGTTGTAGTAAAAATTTAAATAGGTACCTGGACATTGTTAGTCGAAACATCTCAATTCCTGTACCGTCTTTATTCCAAAGTTCGTCTGTGCTTAACCTGCCACTTTTCAAAACACCTGTCAGATAGAGTAAACCAATAAAAGCACGAATTTCTAAAGCATCTGTTTCCTTTGCGTTTCTCTCTCGATTATAGTTTTCTTGGGAGTGTCTAATATGTTTGTTTGTACATTCAACAATAATGTTTATCATGGTATCGTTAAAAAAATATTTCCAAATATCTAGTTCACCTTTTAAATTCTTGGTAACTTCTTTAGCACCTGGCAAATGCGTAATTAAGTTTTCTGAACGTGTTCTAACATTTCTTGGAGGAATATGTTTCATCCATTTAGTAGTTGTGTCTTTACCAAGAAAGAAAGGCCCAGCAGAAACCATCAATTCAGCACCTTCCGTATCAGAAATTTCTTGTTCTGTATCACTATTTTCATTCATTTGTTCTATGTTATTTTCTTCTTCGTCTTTCTTCTTCGTCATCGTCGTACTCAATATTTTCATTCTCGTCGTCAACTCGAAGGCATTCGTCCATTAGATGTTGCAAACGTTCTTGTTCTGCCTCATACGCATACATTTTAAAATTCACAATAACTAAGAAACGTTCAAAATTTCAAAACAACACGGCTGGCGCGCGGAGAATAATCACTAATACCTTCACATCAACGAACATGATGCGACTGATGCTTGGTATGAATAAATCAATTATCATTTGTGGGAGGTACATGGGCGGACCAGAAAAAAGGGTGGGTAGTTTTTGAAATATTGAGAAGTTTAGATCGGTGCGGAGATTTTGTCCGTGCGCCAGCCGTGGAAGGTTAATCTAAAAATTAAAAAAGATAACTAGCTTTATTGACAATAAAGTCCTGACCTGTGCTATGCCATATGCTAAATAAAAAATAAAAAATTCTCCGCTACTGATAAATTTCTTGGTAAAACTCATAAAGACAGCTAAATTATAAGACAACTTATGATGTATAACTCACGAAATGAGTCACGCGTATGACTCATTTCATTATTTCTTTGCTGGATTATAAATAAAAGCAATGACAATAATGCCATTAGCAGTGGTGATAACATTGATAAAATATTCCATTTGTAAATATTTATCATATTAACAGTGTGACTCACTCATTTTTAATTACATTTATGCAACATAGTCAGCACATGTTTTAAAGATGAAACCCATTGTAATTAATTTGTTTCTAGTTTTTATTATTTATATTTGATTTGTTTAACCACTCACATATTTGTATTTATCGATTTGATCTCTAGAAAATATTGGTTTACACAAAACATACCTAAATATGTTTACAAAATATATACATATATAATATATATATATATATATATATATATATATATATATATATATATATATATATATATATATATATATATATACGAACGAGAAAAAAACCTTGAACAATGTATGAGGAACGCCACTGACTGTATTATAATTTTTACGTTTTTTTCGAAAAATTGAATGTTTCTGATCACTTAGTAGAAAAGTTGTGTAGTCGGCGGACATAAGCAGACAAGTCAATTTTTCCAATCAATAAGTCCGACAACTTAACTCAGTATGGTGGAACAGCCACCTAAATATGCATGAAGACAAAAACACAGACTTATAAAACATTAGTTCGAAGTAATACGACATATGGGGCTGAAAATTGGATTATAAAAAGAAAAACAGCAATAAGATAGTAGCAACAGAGATGGAATGCTTGCGAAGATGCTGCAGAGTAACAAGAATGAATAAGAATAAAACCCCTGGCTCAAGTATGGTAATACTATCAAAAGAGTCCCTAACTGTCAGATTAGGAGGTGGGGCTAGAGGCAAACAACATATAATTATTATGTTAAGTAATTATTAGTTGATCGAAACTTATGACGAAAACTCTGCAGACAAGACAAAAAATGGAACTTAAATCATGTATTTCAGCTGCAATAAAAGCAAACATAGAAAATGTTTAGAAATGAAATTTTTTCATTACAGTTTGATTACCGCGCATGCTCTGACTGACCACAAAACCGGAAGACAAAAAAGGATAGTTTTTCAATCTGAAAGATCTAAAACAAGTCTAAAGAATATGTCCCAAAAATAACATTAAAATAGCGAAGTGGCATGAGAGAATAGAATGAGAACAAGATTTTGTCTTCAATATAGGACAGCTTAGCCTAAGTACACAACAATGATAGCGATAATGAAGTATGAACAATAGCAGAACTAAATATGATGGTTGCTAGCACTTATTTTGAACACAATAACATATGCAAGCTAAATTGGACCTTCCACGCCAGCAAACATATCAGATTGATCACATCTCAGGAGGTTTAAGATACTCAACAGATGTAATGAACTGCAGAAGTTATAGAGGCACCATTTGTGATCTCAATATTGGGGACTATGATTTGATACACTAATAAAGAAAAAACAATAATTATGAAGAAATAGAGATGCAAGTAAGAAAATTGCAGTATCTGGGTCATGTCATGAGAGGTGAGAGATATGAGTTGCTGCAGATCATTATACAGGGAAAGATACTGGGCAGAAGAAGCATAGGCCGACGACGTGTATCCTGGCTAAACAATTTGAGGCAGTGGTACAATTGTAACTCTGTTGAGCTGTTTAGAGCAGCAGTGTCAAAGGTGAAGATAGCCGTGATGATAGCCAACCTTCTTAAAGGAGACGGCACTTAAAGAAGAAGAAGAGATGCAAGAGTTACTGAATGGTACTGAGAAAGAATCAAAATGTAAAGGAAGAAGGCCAGAAAGAAAGATATCCCTACTAAATCAAAATAAATGAAGTTTTTATAGCAGCTGTAGAAAATATAATAGAAATAGAATATAACCAATGGAAATAGGAAGCTTATAGAAAAATGCTTGCCAACAAACTAAAATCACAATAGAGAATTACCAGCCACAGTAAAGAAAAGGAGATACATAAAAAAGAAATGGAAAATAAAAAACCGAAACCACTTAAATGTATAGAAAATCTTAATATACAGAAAGAATTCAGAAGAATCTCTAAGAAAGTTAACAACGTTCTTGAAGTTAAAAAGGCAATTAAAAACTAGCCACAAACAAATCACCTAGAATAGATAATCTCTCGGCTGAATTGTATATACATGATAGTGGCCATGATAGTGACACAACAACTTATAAAAAAATGTTATATACTAATAATATGCACTTGGTGGAGGAAAGGGAAGATTAATGAGAAATTCTTTAGAAAGCTTGGAGCTAGGGTTGTATGTATTTCCAGAATGATTAAGATGATGATGATCTGAAATTGTATTTATTTGATTTGTTTCCACAGTAATTGTTCTACAACGTTTTATCTCTAGTGAGCAAAAGGCAAACGCTAGACATATAAAACTTTTCGTGAAGCGAATAAGACAGGATTAATTCTATGTTTTCATGAAAATGCACATAATTGGATGCACCTATTTTACACAACATATCTACCAACTTACAAACCCCCAGTATTTGCATCACCCCCATTCCATTTGTAAGGCAAAGAGAGAATCATAAAAAATAATTAAATACAATGACATCTACCAAAATCATCTATACAAAAATCTAGTCATAAAATATGTTATTATATTGCTATGCAGTGGCGCACCCAGGGTTGAGTTTTGGGGGGTTAAACCCTCCGTCCCAGAACACTATTCCAACACTGTTACTCACAAATTTTAAGGACTTAAAATGGTGGAGGTAGCATAAAAAAATTTCAGAACCTAACCAACCGCCCCTCCCCCCCAAGGAAATTCTGGGTGTGCCACTGGTTATTTGCTATGATTTTTCACTTGGTTTGTCACCTGGGCAAAATCATTTTAGGCTATATTCATTTTCGAAGATTTCCTATGTTTTTTATATAATACATTATAAAAAAATGAATCTAAGGTATATTAAACCAAGTCTAAGCAATAAGAACTGCTTGGTAGAAATAGATTACCTCAGGGAAGTTATCCCAAAAAAGCTAGCTTAACAAAAATTACTCAATATTTTTGAAGAAGATGAAATTATACAATATTAACAAAGAAGGAGAATAATAAAATAGGAAAAAATAGAAACGAATACTGTAAACAAGAATGTTTCCAAGAGAAAAACATTAATAAATAAGCTGAAATTAAAGTGATTAATAATTGGACGGCATTATGCATCACTAGACCAAGTACCATTTCCTCAAATTGTGGATTATGGCGCTTTCTGGTGGGAAATAGCATAAAATATCTACAGAATAAGTCCCATTAATCTATTAGTAACGGTTAACCAGATATATTTAAAAGGACCAAGAGCCTTTCTTCTTATTCTAAATTTTGAATTTTGCATCACTAGACCAAGCTACTAATTCTGTGTAATAGTTACATCGGTAGATCAAGCGCCTCTTGTGAGAATTTTAACATTTGTAAATCAAATATTTGGCAACATATGTACATGAATGTTGTTGACAATAACTTGTTAAGGTGTTTACTTCACACAGAGAAATGAATGTAAAGAATCAAAACAGTTCCGTATGTATCTTTGTAAGTGTAAGTGTTTGGACAAGATTGGTATGGATAATGCCAAAAAATAATTTGATAAGTTTTACAATGTTGAATCTCATGATGCTGAGAGAGATGTAATTTGTTCAAATATTTCTGAAGTCCCAATAAAACGTAAACGAACAACAACCAGTAACAAAGGTTACGAGTAACAAAAGTTTACACACTGTGACAGTGCGTAAATCTTTCTTTTTACAGACCTTGAGAATATCAAGTTGCAAAGTCAATACAGCATTGAAAGTTATGAAACATCCAATGGGTGTTCGAGATTGTTGTGGTCAAAGTGGAGGTCATAATAAAATTAATGATAATCATATACAAAAAGTAATTGAGCACATAACGAAATTCCCTCAATACAAGTCACATTACAGAAGAGCTAACACAAAAATAAAATACCTAACAGAAGACACAAGATTAAGTAAAATGTATGAATTGTATATTGAAGAAGCAGAAAATGATCCTGTTAAATTTTTGTGTAGTAGATGTGATGTAGTAGATGTGATACTTGTAGTAGATGTGAATTAAAAATTGCACAGATAATGAAAAATTAAGCAAGTTAAAGGAAGAAAAAAATGTGCACTTAGAAGGAGCTGAAAATGCACAATCTAGAAGAGACAAAATCTAGATGTATAACACAATTACACAATGTAGCAAAAATCGTAAGTTGACCAAAAACCTTTTTATTTTTATTTATTTATTTTTTTCATTTTTCTTCAACGTTAGCAGCAAGTTATTATTTCGCACTTAGAGGAAACATAAAAAACTGTCTTCGAAAACAAAAAATTACGACTATTGTAACATATACTGAATTTTAATAGTGAAGTCAAATATCTCAAAATCAATTTTTGGGGCTTGTTCTAGTGATGTATAATGCCATCTAATTGACACAAATAATATTTAACAATTAAAAAATTATTTAGATACAGAATATGTTACCTTCTATTTTCTTGAAAATCTGTGCTGCTGGTATGATTTCTATAATTACGATTTTTAGAATTCCTAGATCTGGGAAATCCGCTATCTGTACTAGTACTAGCAGTTTCTTGCTCAGTATTACTACAAGTACTAGAAGATTCTTCAACAAATTCTCCTTCTGTTTTTAATCTTTTTGAGTTTCCTGGATTATGTGAAGGTTTTTCCCTATTTTCATCATCAGATTTATTGTCATCCATGTTGTAAATCTGGGATTCTAAAAATAAAAAACAATATTATTGGACTGCAGTAAAATTAAGAAATAAATATGTAAATAATATTTAAATCGCACAAATCCGCTTAATCTAAGTGAACATTTTCTAATAGGCTAAAACATTATGTATGTACTAAAATTTGATGGGACTGTCAAAGCTAAATTTGATGGTAAAAAAAGAAATAAAGATTTGGAAATAATTTGAAAAGTATTTATATTAATGACAAACTCAAGGCAGAAACTACTTTGCTGCTTACTTGTTTGGTCTTGTCTGCCCACCTTTGCTACATATGTGTAACTTTTTAGTTGCATATAGAAATAATGGTTGAAATAATTGTAAATAGGAAATATCTGAACTTTAGTAGATTGAATAACTATAAAACAAACTGAACATACTGTTATATTATTATAATTAGTGTAAGCAAAACATGACTAATATACTTCTTTAGTAGAACAGTAATTATAAGAGAATGTAAACATATTGATATATTTGTCCTACATCCAAAAACATATGACAACTATATACTAATCTGTATTTTACCTATTTATTGAGAACATAAAGTTATACTATGCCCCCATGCGTATTTTAAATATTAGGCTCTATAATTTGGTTGGTATTTTATATTTGGTCATACTTTGTTTTGAAATAATGAAGGTATGATTTTGGTATGATCTTCAACATTAGTAGATTCTTTCATATATAAAGTTAAGAAAAAAATAGTAGGTGAGAACTTTTCAAAACAACCGTATTATCAGATTAATGTACATAACGGATATTAAAGAATGTTAAAAAAGTGGGCAATGGATATATCATTTGATTTGTGGTTATAAGATTCTGGAATTCTAAAAATAAAATAATTTGCGTAGTACTTAGATTATGTTAAGAGTTAATCATTAATTATATGGATAGTTAAAATATATTGATGATTAGTAAAATATTATTTATATAAATATACCTTATAATCTTTTCTTCGGAATAAACTATTTATTTTTCTATTTTTATTACTGACATTCGAGCAGAGAGCACAGTCAGCACAGAGCAGAATCACAATCAGTGTTGCCAATGCAAAAATAAAAATTATCCGAATGTTTGGAGCCAAATATCCGAAATTATCCGAAGTTTAGAGCTAAATATCCGAAATTATCCGAATCTCAGAAAAGAAGACGAATTCATTGATCGACAGTTGACATGGGTAGATGACAAATGGCATAATGAGATATGAGATGAGATAATGGAAAGAAAATTCTTGTATTTGATAGAATTATATTTATTTAAAGGAAAAACAACTACATACCTAAACCTAATACAAAAAAAAAACTTAAAAACAACAAATTAAACAATAAACTCATAATACTTATGAAATAAATAATTATACATAATACATAAATTTGTAGGAACCAAGTAGGTGCACTGGTGCAGATGAATGAAATAAAAAGTTAAAAAACTGTAAAAATTAGTAATATATAAAAAGGGATATAGTCGGTTCACTAAACTCGGACAGAACTGGATAGTGATTTTAGAAGGTAAGTTTATTATTTTTTGCCAAAATTGGCAAAATTACCAACTATTTAATTACCGAATTGGCAAAATTACTTACTAAAATCACTAGCCAGTTGTGTCTGAGTTTAGCCAACCAACTATATTAAAAATTCCTAGTTCCTACAGTTTATTCATTTTTTTTGTCCCATATTTTAGAATTAATCATGTTGTTTTCTGGTTGAAATTTAACACAACCACCACTTTGTGCAATACCTTGTTTTGAAGCTAATAATGCTTTTAAAGTAGAGGTATGTAATAAATTTCGTTTATCCGTTTTAATATTGAAAACATCACTAAAAATTCTTTCTACACATGCATTTGAAAATGGCAATATGAGCAACAAACAAACAACTTTTTTTAAATTGGGAAATAATTCCATCCCAGCAGCATTTTTTAATTTAAAAACGTTTTTCCAATATTCTTCTGTATCTGAGATAGCTTCTATATTTAATTTTAATTTGTCGTAGTCTAAAAGGGCATGTTGCCGCCATTCATTATCTAATTCTTGCATTTGAATATGTCCAGTTAGTATTGGAAAACGGTCAACTATAGGTTTAAGAGATTTATTTACAAAGGATTGTGCTTGTCTTGGTTCGATAAAGGATAATAATTCATAAATTGGATCATCAAACACAAATTTAGTTTTTATATTACTAACTAGTTCAATATAAAATTCTAATATTGTTGTTAAGAACTGATTACAAGCTTGTCCAATTTCAGGAACTTTACGTAATGACTCAAAACTGTCATGGGCGGCGAGGCCAAGATAAATTTCTTCTAATTTAACAAAGTTTTGGGATTTTTGTGGTTTAATTGGAATATATCATTTTTTCTGATAATATTGATGTCTATGAAATTGGAGCATATTGTTGTGAGGAGTTTAGTTGTTTCGGGTTTTAATTTATGTAAAAGTGGTTTGTTTGTCTGAAAGAGAGTATTAAACTCTGTCATTATTTCAAGCACATAAGACATGAACTCTAGATAAATTTGTGTAAATTGATTATTCATAGTAGCTATCATTTCATCTGTTGTTAGTGACGGATCTTCAAATACTAACTCAGTGAAATAAGCTTTTAAAGGCTGAAATTGCTCTAGAATTCTGTCAACACATTGCTTAAGTGAAAGCCAACGAGTTATAGCAGGTTTTAAAATTTTGTGTATATCAGTTTTAAAAAAAGACTGAAATTCTTGTAGACGTTCATTTCTCATGGCACTTCTACTAAAGTGACTTCCTATATTTCTTACAAGATCTTCTATGGATCTAGGTAACTTCAAGCAAGCATGTGAAATTGCCAAGTGTGCCATGTGACATGAACATTTAACGCATAATATGTTTGGAATTTCTTTTTTTAATAACGCAAAAACTGAGTGATACTGACCAGCCATTACATTGGTAGTATCGGAGGAAAATGCTACTAAATTAGAAATAGGAATATTTTTATCCACCAATCTTTTTTTTAATGTATCAAATAACTCATTGGCTTTACTTCCTTCAGCCTCAACAATATCGAAAAAACTTGTTACAATGTTTGAATTATTAGAGTCATAGTAGATCACTGCAAATGCGCATTGTTTTTTTGTAGCAATATCTGTTGTTTCGTCCATTATTAAAGAAAAAAAGCACCCAGGTTCTCTTAATTGAGAACTCAGTCTTTCACTAAAACATTTTCCCAAACTCTCAGTAACAACAGCTGAGCATTTAGTTCTTTTTAAAGTTATAGATTTGATTATTTCAGAATCAGGGGCTATGTTTTTTAATAATGGTACTAAAGTATCTACAAACGAAAATGGGAGGTTGTTTGTAGCAACTAAGCCACAAAGCTTTAACTCGGCAATTCTCGTATTTTCCACCAAATTTGAAGGTCTAAACACAGAAGTAATTTTAACATTTTCTGCTACTTTTTTCATATTTCCCTTATGTTTGGTACTATTGGCATGATTTGTTAATACTGATTTATGTGAAAGTAACTTAATGTTACATACCTTGCAGAAAGACGATTCGTTTTTATTATCTTGAGCCTTACTTGTTTGCGGATGATCACTTTGAGATACCTTCTCAAGCCATCCAATAAACATTGGCATTTTTAACCAAGCTTCATTAAATTTGTATGTATATGGTTTACTGTCTTTTTTTTGTCTACAAATTTTTTTCTTGGGTGGAGTATTGTCATCATCACTTTTATCGTCAGTCTATAAAAAAAAATACCATTGCAAAACTATAACTTTACATTATGTTATTGTTTCAAAATTATATCAGTTCAGAGGTAAGGGATGTTTAAGTCAAGGTTTAAGGTAAGGGAGTCATATTTTTGTAAAAACTAAATCAATTTCAGTAGGTACATGTTGTGCCTAACGAATTCTAGCTCGTGGATAAAAGACATCATAAAGCATTTATTTTTTTCCAATTTATTTTAGTATGTTAGGTTAAATTTATTTAAACATTAAAATCATTCTGCTATATTTCATTCTGTGACACACCTTAACTCTGAATATAAAAATATAAACTTCAAATTTATTAATCTGATATAAATAAACTCTAAATATAAAAATATAAAATTCAAATTAATTATTCTAATACAGCCTAAAAACAGTAACCGGGTATACTACTTAACAAATTACATTTTAAAAATTAATTATATCTTACCTTATTTGTTTTTTGTATAAATTTGTCCATGTTTGTGAACCAGAAAAGGACGAAAAACTTAGGGGCTTGAATGTTTGACTTGAATAATTATTTTTTTCTCAATTTGTACCTTATATATGTAATCATATGTGAAATACCTACCCACTCAAATATGTGTGAATCCTCTACTTCAATGTGTGTTGATTGGGTATTGGCAGTTAAGGGAATTTTTTTGGCCAGATATATTTGCTTGGGGAATAACAGGTCACTTTATACTTGGAGATTCTTAATAATAATATGCTACACTAATATTGTGATATTTCAAAAATTTTAGGGTTTATCTATTTTACAAGAAATTTTTTAACAATATCAAAGAAGAAATACTTTGTGGCTAATAGTCGGTTTACAAAATACAGATAAATGCGAAATCCTTACTATGTTTACACTTTTAATTGAAAAATGATAAAAATACATACCTAATAATACAAAATTTAACAATTTTTTTATGAGGGATAAGTAGACGTATATTTTTGATAAAACTAAAAAACGTAATATATAAACAAAATAAAAATCGGAGTAGAAAATACTGTAGCTCAAAATTACACAATGCTTTTACGTCACTTTATTTACTGCTTTACTTAAAGCTATTAACTAAGGTCCTAAATATTTAAACTTAATAATTCCCTAATCTCTTAGCCTTCCATTTTGGCTGTATTCTGTGTCCAACGTGTCTTAAATGCACAGTCGATATATGGAACTTTTTGTATTTCTAAAAGTTACAGACCACACGACGGTGGTCTGTTAGGACAAAATTATCTATATA